CTTGAATTCAAACTTATCTCCTGTTTCTCAGAATTCATGTACATGAATCGATGTTGATTTAGGGAGTATTTCACATGATGTCTCAATTACATTTTTAAAATGTTCTCAAAAATGCCTTCACATTTTTTTTTATTAAATGTTCGCATATCATAAAGCATATGGATTGCATTAAGGATGCTTCGAAGAATGGTGCAGGCCTCATTTTTGTGGAAATTGATGGATAGAGATTTTTTCTTTAATGAAATCAGTTCTTTAAAGACAGATCATGAAATCAAACCATGTACAGTTTTTCAAAAATATGAGTAGTTTTGCGTAATGTTTACTGAAATATAGGCAATTTGTAAACATTTTTTTCTCAAAAACAACTCCATTTTTTATTTTCTCCTTATATGTATCAAAAGACTGTTTAAAAAGTAGAGCTGGTCACATTTTTGGCAAACTGTATTGTCAGAAAATTGCAAAGAGTTAACATTGCAAAAAGACAATATTAAAACATAGATTTTTTTCTTAAATTAAATCTAGTGTCTGCTATAGTATAGAGCAAGTATCTGCTATTGTAGCACAACTAATTTATGCTTTGGCAGGCTGTTGTTCATATTTATTAAGTTTTAAAGTTTGTTATTGTTTTTTCAGATACAGATGACAGTCGTGAGGGTGTCTGGAGAAAGTTACGCCTACTTCAATTTCTTCCTCGATCTCGAGCAAAACGTCTGCTCAACCAATGGTCTCATCCCATTAGTCTTATGATCAGGGCAAGGGAGCATGCTCTGAATGTTCTATCTGGAGTGGAAGGAGTACAAACAAGAGGTTATGCCCAACAGAGAACAAGAGGTCCACAGTTAAGTTCTAGAGGTAAAGTTTGTTTAAAAGAAGTTTAGGGGTGTTATGTAAATGAATGTTCATTTATTAATTAATATGTTTGAAGATATGTGTGTGTGTGTGTGTGTGTTTGTTTGTGTGTGTGTGTTTGTGTGTGGTGTGTGTGTGTTTGTGTTTTTTGAGAATAATTTGTCAAACAATTTTTTGGAACGGGGCAATATTTCAATGAAAATTAACTGAACTATTTAGATTTTGATTAACTTTTATAAAACTTCATTTATGAGTCTGTCGAGTGGTACTCAACATGGTCTCCCGTTTTAATGTCATGTCTCATTTGACTTACTTTGAATTATCATTATTAATATCTTTACATGTAATTAATACATATATTTAATATTAAATGCCACATGTACTTCATATTTATATTTAACAAATCCAAAACAATGTGGAATATAGTAAAAAATACAACATCAACTGGAAATCTTGTAGAGAATGTTGTTTGAAAAGATAACATCAGAGAATTGAATGATCCAGCTACAGTGGCTGGTCTCTTCAACCACTCTCTCATTTTTTCAAGAATTACTGCTAATCTCACTATGGGTCTTAAGTCACAAAATTCAACAGACATTTCCACAAAAAAATTTAAGACAATGTTTGTTTCCGAAACTTCTAATGTTCACCTTTCCAATTCATTGCCAATTGCACAAAGGATTCCTCAGGGTCCAATTTTAGTCCCTATTCTCAACCTACAATACGAAAAGCAATATGCCCTTGACAATTTGAAACAAAAGGAGAGTTCTCTTTGCAGATGATATGAATAATCTTTGCGATAAAGACACCGAAGTAGTACAATATCAGGTGTTTCAAATTAGTTCCATAAAACAATGTAATAGTAATCAAAGGAAAAGCAGTTGCAATGCAGTTTTCCATTTCAAAGAAACAATTGCATACACCATTGAAAATGATGGATGTGCAATTGACCAGTATTAAGCAACAAAATTTGTAGGTCTCTCTATTCAGTCAAACGTGAATGAATTGAACACCAAATTAAGTTCATTGTGCTTTGTGTTCAGAATTCTTTAAAATTCAGCCAGTCTTCATATTGCTTGTTGTGTACATTTCGTGGGATTTCATTCCCACTTGAGATATGGCATAATATTCTGGGGAAAGATATCCTATATAGCTCGCATCTTTTAGATTACAAAACAATTACATTTTTGGCAATTTATCTCTGAAATAACCTACTTGGCAACTTTGGAGGTCATAAACAACCAGCAACTCAAAATTTATGTCAAACAAATTCAAGGAGAGACATGATTAGAGACATAAATAATATTCCATGATAATTTTATGTTGATTATTTGATTTTCTGTGCAATTCAATCTCAATGCTAATCAGTATTGGAGAGTTTACTGTACTATATCTGGTTGTTCAAATAGTGGATTCCTGTATGAGCTGTTTCTGTTTTGAAAACATTGATTTCCAAAGTGCAAAATGCTTGCATGAGTCCAGCTAGAAAGGCTATAACTGGAAAAGGGAAATTAATTGGCCAACTTGTGCCTGGAGTTGCAAATAGTGCCAGCAAAGCAAACAGATAACCTTTGTTCAATTCTTATCTATCTCTTCCATAATTTTTGTAGAGTACAAAATTTGTGTGTGGACAATGTAGAAGTGTAGCATATTTTTAGATGTGTCATTTCTGTTTATACAAAGTTTATTAGAAGTGTGCTGATGTGAACAAATGATAGTTTGTAGTATTGATGAGTGCACCACAGACAGTGAGATTTAATTAAGAACTGACAAGAATGTAGAGCTCAAATTATTAGGAGCAAATAGTTAAAATCCTTATATTCTAGAATCGGTTAAGATAATATTAGGCTTACATAATAATGAAGGTAAAACCATTTCTCAATAAAATTGAACGTTTGTAATATTCATAAATCCAGCTCTTTCTATCTGTACCCTCTACCATCTATCTGTAAAATGTGTGGGTGTGTGTATTGAAATTCTTAATCAGCATTAGCTTTATGGTTTGTTCGGTTTCAGGACTAGCTGCATTCCCATCTGCAGATCGTCTGTCACCTTTGGACACTTTTCTTGACCTGTTGACAGCAAAAGGTCAGTCACAATGAAACCTGAAAGGTAGTGGGTTGCAGTGAGATACTATATTAATTTTTTCTTGATTTTTCAGCTAGTCTTACAGATTTGGATTTTGGACTACTCATTGAAGCAACTATTACATCAACAGATGAATTTCTAGATTAATTGTATGGCAGAAAGAAACATTGGAAATCAAGAAAACATAAAATCTATTGGTACATAAATAGAAAACAGTATTTTGTTCATCCTAGTTTAAATGTAGATTATTGTGAGAGTAATGGTGTATGTATAATTATAACTTATTTGTGGATCTGGAATAAACATTGTAATGTTTGTTCTGAGATGTAATAGATATTTTACATTGTAATAGTAATATTTCTCCATAAAATTGATACTCTACTTAGGGTATTCATGGGGGTTAGGGTGAAAAGCCCTTGTGTTCAGTTTTCTAAGCACAATACATGTGAAAATACTCAGTATTACAGATTGTACAAATTTATTTTGTTTGAAAATTATTTTGATTGTATTGATAATATTTAATGTTCCTCTTTTTTGGGTGAACATAAAGATTTTTTTTAGCAATTTGTTGCAGCAATTATTGCTGAGAAAAACTCGAGAACATGTTTCAGTGTTTTCCTTTCATACAGAAGAGCAAAATCAATTTTTACGAAGAAATAGAAAAAGAGGAAAAGAAATACTGAATCAAGTTGTACCCAAAATATGCTGGACATTTCTAGCAAGTTTCTGAGTTGATCATCTCTTTACAATAGAACAGATTAAATAGTTATGAACATTCCTTCAACACTGATCTTTTTTTTAGATAGAGATATAACAATATTATTTCTATAATATGCATTCGCAAAATAGTGTATTTTCACACACACAAATATTTGATGTTGCAGTTATTTGTGTTTACAGGGAATCAAAGTGAAAATGTTGCAACCCTTCAATTTCTATTCAAAATTTATTACAATTTATTTTAAACAGCATTCTGAAGATAAAATATGTCAGTATTCAATTTTGTATCAAGGAAGTCTTTGTTATCTCTTCAATGAGAATAGAAAACAAAAAATATTTACAAGATGCATTGTAGTAATCACAGAATTAGTTAAGAATTAGCATTTATTAAAGATTTTATTAGCAACAGTATTAATGTCTAAAATAAGCATTGGTATTCATTGTGTTAAAGAGCATTTTACTTCTGCCAAAAGTAATGCATATTGCGAGTATTATATTATGAAACAAGTTTGATAATGGACATCACATTGAAACGATTATTCTTGCAGGCAGTAGTTTTGTGCAAAAGCAATAATTGTATCATTATGATGTTGTGTGAAGCTTGTCATTCAAACTTTTGTGTATGATTGTTACAGTTATTTTTATATTAAATGCATTGTGATTGTTTTTTTTGTGGACTGTATTGTTCACCTAACCCTCAACTTCCGTTGAGGGTTTCGTGAACAATACAGATGCATGAAATAATATTTTTGCTCATAAAACATATATATTTTTGTTACACAAACACAAAAATACAAAACATAAATATGTTTCTAGAAATGGTTTATATTACATATCATGATTTGTTTCACCGCTAGTCTTAATGGTACCATTGAAATATAAGACCATCATGAATGATTGTGTAACAGAAAGCCTCAGTTACAATTTATTTATTTCTATGATTATTTTACAGAAACTTCTTATTTAAGATAAGTGTTATTTGTTTATTTTTTAACACCTTCCTTTTGTCATAGAAAGAAGGGTTATGAAGTTTTCATTAAAATAAACTAGTACTATAAAAAAATGTATTATCCCTATGAGTGCACTAATTGCACATTATCACATAGGCATAGAAAATAAATGTGTTAATGTAAGAGCAAAGGAAGAAAAACTTACCATGTTCCTTTTAGTCATTTGTGATTATATATATCTGGTTTTAACATACTGTCTGTGAACTTATTTTAACTTCATTATCCAAAATACCAAGTAATGAAGTATATATACAAAATTTACATCACCACATTTCCAGTATTAAGATGTTGAATATTTGTGATATTTATATTTTACATGTGCCAAATATTTAATTTACAATGTAGATTTTTTTAATCATTTATTGTTAAGTTTGTTTACTTTGTTAAAACTAACTTAAATAATTCTATGAAAGTTCAAAATTGTATTGATGTTGGTAATTTGATTTTATTATGTCCTTGAATTGGATGTTTCCTGTCAAATAAAATGATAATGAACTTAATTCTGTGATCTCAGATTTTAACTGCATTCTTTCATATCTTTAAATATCCCTATCTTTTCCATGTATGCCAGGAACAAACTAAAGGTGCTACATCATGGCATAAACATTTTAGTACTCATTTTAGTCACCATTATCTACATCAGATGTTACCGAGGGGTACGTATCAACTCCCTGGGGGTTGAAGAAATTTTGAAGCCACCATTCACAGTTTTGGTCATTGATATTTTTTTTAAATTGACATTTGACATGATGTATTTTGTATGCCTAGAATCTGAAGATTCTAGGCATACACAAAAATCTAGGAAACAAAAAAAATAATGTCAACCTCCAAAAAATTATGTATGTATGTTTGTTTGTACTTTGGCACAAGAGCTCTTTTATGAGCTAATGCCTTCCAGCAGCATCCCGGACATGGGTTAGCGGGTTTGTGTGGTTAGCACATAGCCATTCCCATGCTGTATTCTGGTATTCTCAACTTGAGAAGTGAGTTTTCTCATCATACAGCTACAGATACTGGGACATTGCAAAGAAAGTGCACAATTAATTTTTGCCACAACTGGGAATCGAACCCAAGGTCCACAGAGGGTACCCAAAACATTATGTGCATTTAGAAAGTTTTAAAATAATGTTTTGGTTTTTCATTTTAATATGTCATTTTAAAATTTAGAATATATAATACGGGCCATTTTGAAAACAAGATTTTCTCAAAAATTTTTCCAAATATTTTCTGTAAACTGTTTGTTGAGATAGTGCTAAAAGCACTAAATAACATAGATGCCAGTTTTCCATATAAACAATCAATATCTATATAAATTCACATTAATTTTTACATTATAGGATATTTTTATTCATTTTTGATTTGAGGCAAAGTTTAAGTTTTGATCCAGCTATGTGTGGATGTTCAGGATCAAGAAAATACCCCCCTCTCCCCTCCTAATTTTATAAAGAAGGTTTTATTTTCCTACATACTGTAAAAAGTTTTAATACCTGGAATGAATAAAAATATTTTTTTAAGTTAATTTTTGGTAGGAAGTTTGAATTTTTAACCTTAAATGTGCAAAACACTACTTAATTTCAGATGTTTTCAGTTGTGCCACTACAGAATAAATTTACTTTGTGTATTTACATGAATGTCTTTGGATTCTTTTAAGAAGAAAATCATACTGAAAAAATTGATTTTCAACAGTAATTAATATTTTTTTCTTTAAAATACACCAAAATAAACAGTGCTGCGGGAATATTTTTGTGCATCACTATATACCATTATAATGTCAAAACAGACTTAACACAGCACCCGCTCTGAGACAACCACGACCCAATATGTTAGGTGTATGATACCTTTCAGTCTTAGTTGAGGGGATTCCAGGAAGCTTAATACTCCAAGCCCTCAAAAAGATACACAGATTTTCTTTTCAAAAAAGAGAAGTCAACATTCTGTTGAAATATTCTGAAGATTGCAGAAGTGTAGATTCACATCTGCCTTAGATTCAATTGTTACAAGCTATGTGTTGATGCATAATAAGACAATAAGTTTACAAACTGATCTTACGATGTAGGTAGCACAATTCTTGAAGTTTTTCTAGATCACACCTTGAGAACTGGAAGCACCTTGTTTGCATAGGAAAGGAGTGATCTGATAATTTAATTAAAAAATGTTGCGCTGTTAACAAAAAAATTGTTTAGAGAAAATAAAAATTACCTATTTGACACAAAATACTCATGTTTTCTAAAAATCAAACATGACATTATTTTTAGATGTTTTTATAAACACATTTTGATAAGAAAAAAATGTTTATTTTCATAATTGTAGTTGTAAGAAGCTGATTTTTTAATTTTTAAATAGTGTTTTCAACAAACATGAGACCTGCACCATTCTCTTAAACATCCTTCACACTATCCAACAACAGAATTTAATCCAAAACAATGGAGCCATTTTTTTGAAAATATTGGTTTCAATTCAAGGGGTCATGACATCAGCCAGATCGATTGGGGAATATCAATTTTGGAGAACATGCTCTGAACGATTTAGCTGCTAGTGTTGTTCACAAGCGGACACACATTTTACCATCAATCGATTTTTTGATATCAAGGACCCAGAAAACATGGATTCTGACTACATGGAAATGTTGGAAGATTTTTTTTCTTTCTAAATTTAGCAACCGGATTTATCCAGTTTAATTATCAAGGCCATGAAATAAGAGTTTTTCTGCCAAAAATTTGTCACTTTTCCCCACAGAATTACATTACTTTCTCTTCTTAAGGGTGAGAAAGTAAAAATGTTGTGTATGGTAATAAACAGTTGTGTATATGTTTTTTGAAAAATATATTTCAATATATATTTAATATATTTTACAAATTAATGAAAATTCAAAATATCAACATTTTTGACAATTTCATTAAATTTCCAGGTTTTAACACATTCAATCTTGAGGGTATATATCAACATTTTCGTCAATTTCATCAGATTTCTAGGTTTTTAACATATACAACCCTTGGGGTTTCTACTTGGTTAACTTGTGTGACCTCTGCAATGTAGCAATTATTGAAAACATAATAGAAAAACTTTTGTACATGTCAGTTTGAATCTAATAATACCTTGTGGAATTATCTTTCCTCTTTAAGTCTGCATATTATTGTCTTCGATTATAAAATAGTAATGAGAATTCAAAAAAACACATGTTTTCAACTTTTTATTTTTGCAAAAGTTACAGAGTTACAAAATTTGGGAAAAACACTGTGAATATCTTTGAACAACACTCCTCGTGCACTACAATTATATTTCGTTGAAGTTCAGAAATGGTTCCATTTGCATATTAGTTTATATCTGCCTTTTTTTTTCTGGGTCCAAAAAGAGATGAAAAATAATCTAATTCAGTACAATCTTCATTTACAGGAAATTTTATTTCACTGATTTTCTCAAACACAGGTAATTCAGATTGTTCATTGTTTCTGCTAAAGGAAATGAAAACTCTTGATATTGAGAAGACTCACCATAAAATCATTATCACTCTCTTAAATATTATTTTCATTTCTCAAATTAGTGTAAACAGACGAGGACAAAAGTCATCGTCCACATCAGAAGAATCCAGTTCGTATCCATTATTCAAAAACTTGAATTTCTAATGTTGAGTGTTGCTGTGAATTTGGCATCTGTATATGTCTTCTAAACATCTCCATATGTTAAAACAGCACAAAAACAAAGAAAGACTTCTGAACAGAATTGACAATGCCCACAAGTACAAATACCTAATTGCTTCCAGAAAAAAATTGCAAATACTTGCAACAAGTAGAAGTACACATTGGCAATTGTCCTGCATCCACCTTAGTGACATTAGGTGCCTAGAAGTGTCGAAGAGATCTTTATAGCTGGTCAAAGAAGATAAATGTAGAAGATCCAATGACATACATCCATAGGATGTAGCAGTAAAATGAAGATGACATATCCGATATGTCCTTAGGATCGGAAGTGTTAAAAAATATTTAATACTTATACAGGCATATTTTAGATGAGAGGGGATAAATACCAGGTTTGAATATCATGGAAAATGAAATGGAATTTAATGGCAGTTGGATTGCATTGTACACAACTACTATAATGAATAGGAATTATTGACTAGCTTCTCTATATTAGATTACCAAACTTCTGGTCCTTTTCTATGGGAAACAGTTTCTCTCCCATCTAATTTATATTTTGTACTTATTACTTATATTTTTCACTTAAACTAGAACTTTTAATGATTTCATTCTCAACTTTTTTGTTACTTATTTTACAACCATTAATTTATTAATTTCCATTTAAATTTATGTGAACTTATTTAAATCCATTAATTTATGTGAACACCTGATGATACGTGAAAACTACATGCAAAACATTGAATTGTGAAAAAAACACTTTCTTATATATTACCTTTGATTGTCAAAAATATAACAATATTTGTGTTTTTATTTCTCAAAATTTAGTTGATCATATAAAATATTGTCTGTAATGTGTTGAAATAATTTTAAGGCCAAAAGTAACAGACATAAAAGTTCACATTTATTAAAATTCTGGAACAACATGATGTTTCAACCCTATGGATTGGGGTCTTCTTCAAGAAATCTAAAATTTGATAAAAACTAAGTAAAAATAATGGTACAAAATGATACTAATAAGTCTTAACTGATAAACTTACCAAAGTCTGGCAGGCAAGACACATTTTCAAAAAGACATTGTCAAAGAATCATCACACAAATAAATTGATGATGTTACATATATTGACAAACAATTTCATTAAGATTGTCAATAAGAACATTTCCAACATGTTGAACACTCCCAACAACTCAGTAAAAAATCCTGTAAAGTCATTTCCCTTTTACAGAATTGCAACATACAAACCAACCATGGACTAATTGCTGTGGATGTTAAAAGCTTATTTACTTGTATTTCACACAATCTGATTATGGACAGAATAGAATCTAGATGGAATCTAATTAAAGGTTCCCCTATCCCCATTCTAGAACAACAGACAGCTATTAGGTTGATTTTAAATACCATAGTTTTCACATTCAACAATAAGATCCACAAACAGAATAAGAAACTCTTACGGAATCTTCTATATCTCCAGTACTATCTGAATTAGTAATAAGAGACTTGGAAAATTGGCATTAATTAAACCTCCTTTGAAATATCTCAGTTATGTAGATGACAGTTTTTGTATTACTACACACGATAGTATACCTAAAATACTAGATATCTTTAGTTACAATAAGAATATAAAATTTACATTTGTGATTAAAACCAATTAGAGTTTCGACTTTTTAGATTTAACAATTATAAGAACTGGCCATAATCTGTCACTCAACTGGTACTGTAAAGCAACTAGCACCAATTGAGTGCTTACTTATTATTCTTTATATCCACAATCCCAGAAAATCACTATTGTGTATAATTTAGTTGATAAAGTGATTCTCTTGGCAGATAATCAGTATCATGCTCAATAATTACAAATTGTCCAGATTATCTTCAATCATACTTCATATCCAAGGGAATTCAATCATAAGTGTATTTCAAAGAGCATTAACAAACACAAATTAAATCTGCACCCCATATCACATATTTGTAAAAATTTGTAATGAAGAGAAACCCTATATTATGTTACCTCTTTACCCCACCCTTGATAAAAAAAAGAATCAGTACACTGCTGAATAAAGTTGGAATAAGAACAGTTTTCAAAATTGATAATACATTAAGTCGTTACATCACAAAGGGTAAAGATCCCACATCTACCAAGCTCAGACATAATGTCATACATAAAATCAATTGTAAAACAATGGGGCGTAATTCCAGTTACATAGGTACAACCATAAAAATAACTTTAAATTAACTATTGACAAACAATGTTATTACCAAGCATAAACTTAACAACCATGTGATTGATTGTAAGAATGTCCGTATACTCGAAACAGAGAGTAATTGATTATTCAAAAGACTCCTTGCTTTATATATGTATAATACTAATGGAACTATAAACATCCAAAGTGATACCAACAATTTACATGACATTTAATTTAATTCTATTTAAATGAATTCTTTTGTGATTTAGACTGTTTTTTTGTTTCATTGTACACCCAACAAATTAATTCTGTTTCTTCATGTTAGCTGTGTCTTCGTTCCTGACTTAATTTACTTTGCACTCAAAAGTTGGAGGTGGACTCCGAATGGACAATTCGGAGTCAATACAATGTTTTCTTACTGTTACATCTTAACAAGATTACAACGTGGCTATATCATCAATATGGTATAATATGTTGCATCTGGGTGATTTTAGTGACATCCACACCAATTAACTTGTATAACATCAGCAATTCATTTGGGTGATGATTCTTTGACAATGTCTTTTTGGAAATGTGTCTAGCCTACCAGACTTTGGTAAGTTTATCAGTTAAGACTTATTAGTATCATTTTGTACCATTATTTTTACTTAGTTTTTATCATATTTTATATTTCCTGATGAAAACCCCAATCCATAGTATTGAAATGTCATATAGTTCAAGGATTTTAATAAATGTGAACTTTTATGTCTGTTCCTTTTGGCCTTAAAATTATTTTAATTCATTTTATTTATATGAAAGTAATTGATCAAGGCCATTGGAGATGAATCCATAAATCTGAACACAGGTTGGGTTATTGGTCTCGTGCACTTAAGCTGAAGCTGGGTCTCAAAATTGATCTGGTTAATTTTTACTCTCCAAACAAATGAGTGATCATTGAAACATTTAATTACAGCCATAGATGGAAAAACATCATCAAACAGCAAGTGAGTAGGAATAATTAGTCAGATACTTGACACTTCCATGGAACTGTTTGTCAATCCATCAATTCCTGTCCTGTTGGGGAACTTCTTATGCCATAATGTATGAGGATTTCCACTCCATTGGAAACAGACCTTCAAATAAAGATTTATAAAATAGAACCTTCAGCAATCAGGAGAAGACAAATTTACAATTTTTTAGCAAAATTGTAAGTATCCCATCTGGACCAATTTTCTCTTTCATGTCAAGCTTAGAACCATTCAATGAGCCATTATCGATATGGGGTTTCGGAGCGGAAGGCCCTCTTGTGTACAATACAACCCAAAACTTTCGTTTCACCTGGGCCCATCATCAAGGACACTGGACTGTTGATGACTGGAAACACGTTGCCTGCTCTGTATGGCAATGGATGTATATGATGCAAGGGATGTATGGCAATGGATGTATGGCAACAGCCTCAGGAATCCATGGACCATCTCTAAATGTTATCAAAATTATTATTATAAACCAGGTTAAAGTTTTTAGCATATTTTCTTCTGGAAGGTCCCCCTGCAAATAATTATGCTAGCATCTATGGTTTAGGGTGTCGTTATTTTCAAAATCGAAAAAAAGAAAAAAAATTCAAAATTACTCAATACAAACTTTTGAAGCTCAGTGAGAAAAACGATAAAACAAACATGTCTCAAAATCATTCTTAACATGAATGTGAAGTTCAAAGTGAGAAACTAAAAGAAAAGAAAAATATTTCTAAACTTAATGTTTTATTAAGAATGAGAAATGTGTGTTTTGCTTGGAGATGTACTGACACTACTAAGGTATTTACTGAATGCTGCATATAAATTATTAGCTCTTTCAACCTCTTGAGCCCTGTAACAGAAAATGTAATTATTAAACAGTTCCCGAATAATAATGGTAAATTTAGAGATTTTTTCTTTAAATTTTGTTGCGTCGTGTCATGTCCTGTAGACAACAAGAATTTAAATTCAATTGTCTTCATTAGCAGTTTACAAGTTACAAACTCACGAGAAAATGTCACAAGTGTCTCAATAATATTTTGAGTATAAAATGATACTAATAAAATCAGTAATCATTCATGAATCAAATTAATATTGGTCCCAAACAATTGTCATCTTCTCTATTACTAGAGACTTTTATTATGTTATTTCACATTCTCTAACTTACGTGTTATTTCATACATTTTTAACCTACACACGTAATTTGAAATAGAAATAGAGGAAACAATTTTATCATTAGATCTTTTATACCAATAAACCTCTTTTTTCCAATTTCCTACTACATGGCTATCAGAACAGGTCACAGAGAATTCAAAACTATTTCAAACTGCTATCTGTGAATTTAAAAGTTATGCAAATGCAAAGATGTGTCAAGACTTAAAATGACACATTGTGTCATGCACCTGATATGATACCTTATAAATGTAAATAAGATCTGAATCAGCAGTCATGAAATTGCTAATGAAATACATTCATTAATAAAAGTTAATTGTTTTAAATGTAGAATGGCTTTAAAATTTATAATGCACTTAAAATAAAAAAAAATATTTCCAAACTATAGTTAATCTTTCACTTAAATAAAGACTTTTTACATGGCAAATATTTTGTGAAATAAATAATCATAATTAATAAACATATTAGAGTTATTCCTTTTGTTTTCATCACCATTATCATCATCACAATTGTATTGATATGGTGATTATTTTTATAATGAGTATGATTATAATCACTGTTATTATTGTTATTGTTATTGTTATTGTTATTGTTATTGTTATTGTTATTGTTATTGTTATTGTTATTGTTATTGTTATTGTTATTGTTATTGTTATTGTTATTGTTATTGTTATTGTTATTGTTATTGTTATTGTTATTGTTATTATTTTATCATTATCATCATCATCATCATTATTATTACTACTACTACTACTACTACTACTACTGCCAAATCAAAATCATATTATTATTTTTATGCTCTAAATAATTTTTACTGATGATTATAGCTCTCACAGCCCACGCCAACCGAAGAGAAGCAATGATATAAGTAAAAAGGTTGGTATACATGGTAGAGTGTTCTTGCAGATTAGACATACAGAAAATGTGCAGTCCAGACATGCTTATAAGTGCATATTGTTTGAATAAGGAATAATATACATTGCTTCAAAAAAGCAAGGGAAATAAGAGGTTCAATTTTGTTCAATTTTTTTGGTAATTTGAAGATTATAAACCGGACCTTTACCATATTTCTATTCACTTTCACATATTTGAGTAAAAAATTTAAAGTAAATTCATCCATACGATTTTAGAAAACATTAAATCAATGAACCTTCTTAAATTTTCTGTTTTTATAATCAGAAGTTCAAAATATTTAGTAAAACATTTCAATTTTAAGAAAATACCTTATTTACCTTATATTTTCAATTTCACGATCTCGTTGTTCCATTAAAGTCTCCAAACGCTCTCGCTCTACTTGTCGCTCATGTTTTATGTCTAAATGACCTCTCAAGAGATCTGACACTTGCTGATGAAGACGATCAACTTCAGATTGTAGTTTGTCTGCTGCTTGGGATTTACTCTGCAACTTTGAATTCTCATCTGCAAGTTCTTGTCGAAGACGTTGACAATTCAATCTCTCAGATGATAGTTCCTGGTAACAAAATATTTAATTCATTTTTAAGTCAACACTTTCAGGCTTTGGTGAAAAACAATAGCAAACGAAACATAGAAGTTTTTTAAACTGATCTTAATTAAGTCTAAGACAACTCTGTTATCTGGTATTGAACCAAACAAAACTTTAAAAAATTAGTCTTGAAGTATGGTTTTCGTTTCTTGTGTCAGAATGTGACAACAGTGTAAATGGGAAATCACTACTAATATTCATTATTACATTTTCAAATTCATCCTACCTACATTTCATTTCATCATTCCTACATCTTCACCAAAATTGAAATATTCTTGGCACTTAATTATTCACAAGATAACTATTTCTCTCAGTACACTTCTTAAACACAGGTCTTCTGGTTACTCAATCTATGAGTGCTTTCTGAGTGAAAAGAAGGCCATGGCACTCCTCAGATCAGCTACCATGAGCACAAGAACAATTTATTTGAGGACAGAGTTATCTCAGTCAGTTAGTAGTAAATCCCATAAAACCATCAAAGAGAGATTTCAAGATATTAACTTTTACTTAAAGCAAAGAGAATGTGCATGTGTGTGTAGGCACATCAATGTGTTTGTGTGGGTATGTGCATTGGCGAGAATGTGTACATATGGCGAGGGGGGGGGGGTCATGTATGTGTGTGGGTGAATGGGGCCAAGGTTCAGAGTGTGTAATTAGCCACATGATTTTTATTCGCAAAACAATAGAAAAAAAATCCTTTTAAAATTTTACAAAATGTATTGATTTTTATTTTCAGAGAGTACTTAGCTTTATTTATACAATTAATTAGTTACATTTTGATTGAGATGTAAAATCAAAAGATTGACCTCCATCTAAATATCTTGAATTAAATGTTGTTATTTACTCAGAATGGAAATTTATTGGACTTGAATTGGAAAGAAGAACATGACATGACAATTTTCTCCTAGATCTGAAACTTAGCAATTGCTTGCTTTACTTCCACATAAACTAATACCCAAACACCTATTGACATACAATTTCAGCTTAACTTTATTATTACAATAGAAATTTAAAGATGTTTACAACAAAATGTCTACCTTCACCAGAAATTCATACTTAGTATTTCAGCAATCTGTGCATTAAAACCTTACCTCATGTAATGTAGAAAACTTCTTTTGAGAATCGGCCATTTCTGCAATTAATGAACTATTCTGTTGCTGTAGCTGTTGTATCTGATTTTGGGTTTGCATCAGTTGCTTTTCAAATTGCAAACGCTCCTCCCGCAGCGTTGTCAAGCGATCTTCTAATTGAGCTACCCGAGATGCCTGTAAAAACAATTACTTTGAATACATAAGAAAAGGAAGATAAAAACTTGAGAGCTGAACAGAAATAAAAGTATAAGTGAAATCTGTATTTGTAAACAAGATTTACTGTTCAACTCTAAAAACAAAAGAGTTCCAAAATAATTATGTCAATTACTAACCTCCAATTATATCCTTTAAAAATTTATTTTCATTTTCTTTTTTGGATCTTTAAATCATTACAGCTACTTTAACACAATGTTAATAGTTTAGTCAGCTATGTTTACACAATGTTTTCAGCTATGAAAATGTGACAAATTTCCAAATATATCTAAATAAAATTTTCTCAAAAATGGTTGAAGTTTTTTTCTACAAACTATTTGAATGTATAAAGCATATGCACTAAATATTTTGATATAAGCACCATTTCCATTAAAAGTTTTGAATAATCAAAAATGACACCTTGGAAACTCTTTTGAACATTTGAGTGTTAATATTTACAAGTGTTTTATAATTTAAAGCATTTGTGGGGTCAAATGTTACAAATTATCTGTGAAGAAGTGTCTCAAAATCTGTGAAGTTTTCTAAGAAAAAGATGAGTTTAACTTTTTAGATAATGTCACTGGAAATAGTGTCATGTAGGTAAGCAGTCTAGTTGCCTACCAAAGTGAAGACATGGGTTTAATTCCTAAGACAGGCAATACCTTTTTTAAATCCTTTCCTCGAATAGAGCAAAAGGTGCTAAATATGATCATATTTTAATTTAAACCTATGAAATTTCCAAAATTGTAATTTTAAGTCTTCCTTGCTTCTTTTGCTGAAGGTAGTGATGCTGTTGAAGTGCTGACTAGAGAATTTGTCTAAAATAGTTTACGATATTACATTACATAACAATTATATATAACACTAGAAAGTATGAGATGTCGTAGCACTTTTAGTTCTCAAAGCAGTATCTTCACTCAGACAGCAGAGAATCTTAATTTCTTTTTTTCAGCTTTAACTTTCATAATTAATCACTGATTTACCTGAACACTGCCTAAACACCATTCACAGGGATTTTTCAAGATTCTTCAATAAATCTGATTCAACTTGCAGCCCGAGTATTTCAAAGGAATTCTTTTTAATAATCAATAAAAGTAGAATGCATTTATTCATTTGAAATTTTAATCATCAATTCCCGCAAATCAAACCCAAAATATAAGTATGTTGCAAATGTTACCTCTCACCTACTCACAGACCTCCTCTGTGCTATAAAAAGAAGCAACTAATAACATGGTAAGGAAATCAAAATTACATCATGAAATGAAAAAAGAAAAAATGCCCTCCAAAAATGGTCTCTTCCCCTTCCGACCAAGACACATCAAATGACACCTCATTTGTTCTGAACGGTAGTGGTTTAACCATGAGTGTTGGAAGGATGGTTGGACAGACAGGTGGAGATGTGCAGTTTACTAATTACTAAATATGAGATTAATATATAAATAATTTTTAATGATGCTTCATTCTTACCTCACGCATTTTTGTTTCTTGAACTGCCAAAGAAATTTCCTCTTCACGACGTGCTCTTTCTCTGGAGAGAACACTATTCAAATCTGCTCGCAAATGCTCCTTCTCTTCTAGACTTCGCTCTAATTCTGAAATCCGCATCTGTAGAGAATTTTTCTGGGCTGTTAACTCTGACTGAAGATGAATTAAACGCTTTTCATTTTCACGAGTTTCCAAGTCAAGTAATTCTTTATCAGAAGCCTTTTGTAGCTCCAAATGCTCCTCAAACTGTTTGCGGGAGCGTGCTAATCTGTCTTTCACTTGTATTAATTCTCCTTCCAGCCTGGTAATTTCTTCACTTTGGCTAATATTCACAGCTTCTAGAGCTTGTCGACGTTTCTGCTCAGCTGTAAGTTTCGCTTTCAGGTCATTCTGAAGATCTAAAATCTCCTCATCTTTAGTTGAAAGTTTCTGACAACAGTAAATAGACATAAGTAGAATTTAGGCAAGTAATATTAATTTTACTATTACTATTTAGTAATTGGGACAGGTTTTGAGAAAATGGCAATTTAGCATTTCTGAAAATGTGGAATCTTGAGTTCATTTTCACAGAAAAGTTTTGAATTTGCCTAATACCTTTCTAAGACATTGTTTAAGCACATATACAAGTATATACAATAATGTGAACAAATTACTGCTAATGTAAATATTACCTATTTTGACAGGCTAGTGAAAAATTACATTTTGGTCATTTTTGAAGAAAATACAAACAAAAGAATAGAGCAAAATGGTGTTTACCTCATCTCATAGAGTACGTTTAGCACTATCCCTACCAAAAGTTAAAAGAAAAAATTTGGTGCCGGGTTTGAGAAAATCTTGTTTTTGTTATTTCAATCTTCAATTTTGTAGTTGTAGGAAGATGCTGAAAAAAATTTAAACTTTTGAATTTTTTGAAAATTCAGAGATACTAGTGAAAATTGAACCTATGCCACCCTTATAAGAGTATTTTATTCTATTCCTACAATAAATTCAAAAACAATATTTGGAGCCATTTTTGAGAAAATTTTGAAAATGTATGTGGGTTTTTGTGTAAAGTACCCCCAACATTTACAGAATGTTTTTCAAAATCGCAAAGCTTTGAGTTGAGCCAGATCGACCGGGCAACAACTATTTTGAAAAAATTTTGTTTAGTCAATTGTGGTGTTCACAGACAGATGGAAGGATGTTTTGAGAAAAATAACTTTTTCTGTATCAGGGACCTTAAAACGTGCATTTTGGTTAAAATTTCTAAATTGATTTTCAGCAGCATTACATAACTTTCTCTATTCTATGTTTATTACTGTGTATATATGTATCTATACGGGAGAGTACAAACAAGATTTTCTCCAAAATTGCTAGAAATCTTTTCTTGAAACTTTTCGTATAAATGGCGCTAAATGCACTGAGGAATATTAAATAAATGTCATTTTGATGAATTATTTTGAAATATCTCTCCTGTCGTTAATGTTTACATTATAGCTGTTTTATATCACTTTTGAGAATACAAACACATATTATTGCATTTGTGAATACGAGAGCATAAAACAATTCCTTATGAAGTTTTGAATTTTCACAAAAAACTGCCAATAAACTGTGGATTTTTAGAAATGCTTAAACAACATTTTGTCAAAATGACATTAAAATTTTCAAAGAAAATTTGCACTTAGAGCCAGATTTTTCTCTTCAATAATATTCTTAAGACTTTTTCAATTCTACTGCTAGAAGAACAACAACCATAGAGGAAATTGAAAAAAAAAAAAAAGTATTTTATGTTCTGGTATATAGCACCTGGAAAGACAGCAGTGCCCCCTCTGGATGGCGAGTTCCGGCGCCGACCTAACGTCGGATAGCTGGGTTTCCCTCAGTCGGGTAACTCCCACCAGCCAGCGACCACCCCAGTGAGACAAGCTCGCTCCCGACAGATCTCCCGGCAGTGTGGTAATGTAGTGCATGTTAGGTTGTGTGTGTGTGTGTGTAAGGGGTGAGGATAGGACAAGGAAGAGGAAGGAAATATCGCGCGCTGTCCATAACCCATTTGTTAGGGTAATGATCCGGCATTTGCCTGGTGTTCATCGGAGAAACCACGGAAAACTGCTGATCAGAGCAACCGGCCTCTAGAATTCTCCTTCAGACAGCGACTGAATTCGACCCAGCTGACAAACTAGTGTTCAAAATTTTGCCACTGTCGGGACTAGAACCTACGATCTCCCGGTCAGAGGCACAGCAGTATCATCGGTTGATTACACTAAGACACCTCTCCCTGTCCAGACGTAAAATATTCTAACTAGTACAAGAAAGTCCGTGTCATTCTGCAGCACCATAGTTATATTTCAAAAATGGTTTGATTTAGAATACAAACTTAACTTATACAAACGTAAGTCCTATTAACCTTTTCTACACACGCACACACACACACACACACACACACACACACACACACACACACACACACACACAGGGTGACGGTACTCGTTGCTCATACGCCGGGACCTTACCCCTTATGTAATGTGCTGGCTGAATTTACCAAAATTGGATACTCTTCGGCTTTTAGTTTTGTAAATATTTAACGTTAAACTTTGGACTACGCGCTAGTGCTCGTGTAACAGGGGCTCTGGCGAATAAGCGAGGGCCACTCGTCTGCCTCTCTGGTTTCTCCCAAACTCAGTTATTACTACTATCAAGATAAGCGCCGGAAGCGAGCGCAAGGCCAACAGCGCGCGAAGGTGGCATCAAAACCCGTCACCTGGGGAACAATTCACGCGGAGAGATTACGACATTTTCATTTCCAGCAGGTGCAGCATTTGCGCAAACGTCATTTTAGACATTTCCCGTGCAAATGCAGAGAAAAACTGGAAGTTCGTTCTTTGGTCAGATAAAGCGTGTTTTACAATAACTGGGACAATTAATGTGCACAATTTGCATGCGAGGGTCAAGGAAAATCAGTAAGTTGCACGTAGTGTAGCTCACCAAGAGAGATTCTCCGTAAATGTATCGATTGGCATTGTGGATGAATTTATGATCGGTATTCACTGCTTACCCGAGAGTTCAGTATCTGAATTTTATAACTCTCAACTAACTCCCAACGCTTTTGGAGCTGTGGGTTAATGAA